TAAAACAATTTGGATAAAAATAGTAGAAAAAGTGTTTTAATGAATAATAATTTTCTGTTAGTTGATTACATTTATTTGAATATAAGCCGAATTGTTGGTTAATTCAGTAAAGGATTCTGTGAATAAATGTAACTTTTAAACAAATTAGTATTAGTTGATTAAGTTACAGAGTCATTAATTTAAGTAAAATCGTTTAATCAGATAAACAGCTTTCTTATAAATACAGAATCTCATTATTTACACGTGTGTGATCGGGAAATCTTGAGAGAGACGGGTCTTGTGAATCCCTATGTGTGAGAGCATTCAATGAGAATTGTTCAGTACTATATGAACTTAGTACACGGTGTAGAGCTGTATTGGTATGGGATAACAATTACTATGCTAACAAGCAGTTAAGAATGTTTTGCAATTTTAACGCAAAACATAACTGTAAAAGTTATTGTATTGATATCAGTTAGCAGATTCAGTTTGTGCAATATTTTGTGATTTTAATTAATTATAATTTATATGTAAAATGTCCTTACTTAGACAATAGTGACTTATTTCCAAAGTGACCATTTTGCTTGATGATATAATGTGATGATTTCAAATATTTGAATTATGGTATGAACTAGTAATCTTAGCAATAATGCAATTTAATCAAGAAGTATTAGATGAACACGAACCAATGTACTGTATTATGAATTGAAAATGAAAACAGTCATCAATACAAAGAAATAATTGGTTCATATGAACACCACATAGGAGCAATATAGTTTATACCAGTTAGTTAGACTATAGTCAGACCCAATCATCGTTTTATTCATCCCAGAACTGTGTAGGGTTGTGTCTTGTTATCCTTTATGCAGGCGAATTTTCCAGCATATCGTATAAAATTTGCGTAACACGAACAAGAACTCAAAATGTATTATATTTATTATAATTTAACTGAAAACATACCACCTAATAGAACTTCTATTCTGGAGTAATTCATGCCTAACTGTGCCTACTGAGTTTTATCAACAAAGCCAAACCTTATTGAATTCAACTAATTATATTAGTTTATGAGCGTAAAAGAATCAAAAGTTATCTGAGAAAACCTGGTTACAGATTATCCAGACCTGCTTACTTTTCTAGATATGAAGTGTTAGACAACTTGCAAACATTGATAGAAAGAATCATGTTTATTGTAGCTGGTTCTAGAACTAACCATGTCTTGAGAAGAGCCCTTGGATAAAGATCTTTATAAAGTATCTATATTTTAGTCATCTACCAATGTTCAGATGGTTTTGTCTCGTCCCATAAAGTAGGAGGTCTCTTATTATGTTTTAGATCTGTAGCTAGTTTGGTAAAACGTTACTTAGTATAGTTGACTGAGAATTATGTAAGGTGAATTTTGAGCCCCATTCAACACTTATGTATTGCCAAAATACATTTAACTTGAACAGACTATTAATTTTGACTTCTAAGTTTTTATGCGGCTCAGTTTTTGCAACATTAGATTCACAAAAGGCAGTCTTACTCTTTTTTAGTTAAGTCTGGATACTTTTGCGTCATATGTTGAGACAGACGTTTGAAGGTTTGCTATGCAGTCGTGGCTGAAGGTTCAAAATCAAGCTTTTATCTTTAGAATAAACTGTAGAGATCTCTCAGAATGGTTTGTTACTACCAATACGATTCCTTTGGACTATTACTAACCCATCTCTGCTCAGCCTACCTCTTGTTACATACGTCTATTTGTTATTGTTAGACTTTTTCTAATTGACATTATTTGCGTAAACTGTTCCTTCTCTAATTCTAGCTGTTATCTTCTCTTCCTTCCTCCACATTTTAAATTATGATTCGGCGTATTGTAACAAATCAAAATTCAGCCTGGGATGTGATAACTGTCATTCCTAGCAACTCTACTGCCCAGTAATAAACGTGTTCGTTTAAATTCAAGATTCATTAACCCCCAATTAACTGACAAGGCACTAGAATAGTTGCAGGCAAGTGGCTAGACTCATTGCACTGAACAAAACCGAAGACTTGCAAATTTGATGGAACTGCATCGTAGCCTTAAGAATAGAGCACAAAGAAATAAATCGGTTTATACAAGCTCATCACAAAAATATCTGAAAGGGTTTCAACATTAAATATCTGTTATCTTTATGACAAACTTGTATAAACCGATAGATTTCTTTGCGTTCACTTCTTGTTGTTCTAGTAAGGTTACATATATTTGATAATGTCAAACGGGTGATAGTCTAGCCAATCTATTTCACTAATTCTACGTAGTTTTGTAGCTATTTGTGGATTTGGATATCTTATACTTTGAAGGAGTGCGTTTGTCCCAGGTTGGTAAGGATCCTAGATGCCAAAAGCTACTACATCACTAGGCAGGAGGTTGACTAGTTGCAATGGAAAAATAATAAGGTGATAAACTGATAAACGAGTTACTTAATTGGTAATGTCTAAGAAGATACAATCCGAAGAATAATACGGGAAATGGGGATGATGATAAGAAACATAGTAAGTAGTTACTAGTGTGCGGTAATGGTAACCGTAGTAATTTATGAGATATGCATCAGACACAGTTAGTCTAAGAGGGAGATGTTAATACATGGGTGAGTACGTGTTTGTCAAGTATTCTCTATTCCTGATGGGGCTATGGTTACTGCTACTAGATGAGGATTCCAAATGGAGACAACTGCTAATGAGAAAAATCTAGGACGTACATGGCTGTTTGCTCTTTGATGTACAATCTTCCGGGGATTAACTTGAGGAGCATGGTGATGATGTTCTCGTAACATGTTTGTGCTGGGTTGGCTTGGTGTACTTAATGTGTTATATGCCATTATTAGATCACCTCTTATTCTCCTGCAGCTCAACGAGAATAATCTTAGGTGTTGGAGTCTCTCCTCGTAGGATTTGTGTTTCAACCATATCACCCATTTGATTGCCCGTCTCTGTACTTGGTCTAAGAGATTTATATCTCTTTTAAATAGGAAGGCGCAACAGCACCGTTCGAGTGGCCCATTATCGGGCTCCAATTAGATTGTATGATGATGTTATTGACCTGCTCAACACTGTTGTGGCGCGGTATACGGCTCCATTTCGATCGTATGAATGATTGTCATTGATATATACACGCTGCCAACCGTCATATATTTTCATAGACTTAAATTGTATTGGTGATTAATGGGATAAAATTAGTCAAATACGAAAATAGATTTTGAATGCATATATTTAATACAATCGTTGATCCAGAAAGGCGATCTGACAAACGAAGCGGATTAGAGGAGGCATGTGGGCCAACTCCCTTTAGTCAGGCGTGACTCGATGTTCATGGCCAAATAACAATAAGTTACGGACACATGATGATTAGAGTAAGTAATTAACACACACACACACACACGACCATATAAAAAGAAGTCAGGGTTAATAAGCGAATAAGTGACAAGGTCAAAATGTGGCTTAAGGAGAATAGATAAGTTGTTTGTCCAGAAGTTAGAATAGACCATTCGGGGTTGACATAGTATCAGCCACCACACCATGGACTTCATGTTAGGGCCGTGAGTACGTTTTAGGGTTGGTTGGATACTACATAATGTCATAGGAATACAGAATCTTTCTGAGCCTTCACTCTGCTGTAGTAGGTGAAAAAGTATACTCTTGAAAAACATAACTTTATAATTGGGATCCTCTTTGATGTTTTTAGGACTTGCCTTTATAATTGAGTGGTTAGTGTACTGGTCTGGTGAAACAGGGGTTGGAAGTTCACCGATTTGAGTATGCACGTCTCAGAAGTGACTTTATTATGACTTATAGTACCCTTATAGTGGATGTCGAGTCGAAGACGGACTATGATCACCACTACAATTCGTTTACGCGCCCAAAAACAACTTGGTCCCTTTGATAGCTCGTAAATCAGAAGACTTTATTAATCCAGATCAATTGTATTTATTGGCGATCTCGTGGTATCGAAATAATACCGAGACGTGCCAAAGAGTACAGGCAAACAGGCAGTGCGTGAGCAAGTTCGAACCAAACAAGGCGGAGAGCGAAAGCAGAAGTGAAACTGATACAGTTAAACAAATACAGTAAAACAATCTCTGGTACAATTGGTTACAATAATAATAATTGTTTCCGTTATTCCAATCGTGTTCTTATCGAGACTGGCCGGTCACTACACCCTAAACACTCCTGAGGGCCCTCTTAAATACCCAGTTAAGTTCATTCTCAACACAAGCCTCAGGTGTAAGACTCAAAAGTTAGAAACACAACATAGCAGAATGAACCGTAAGCACACCTTCTGCTCTCTAAGTAGTTAAATTCTGAGATTCTCTCTCGGTCGAGATGGTCAAAGTGGATCCCCATAGGTCCTTCAGAAGAAAACTTGTCATATTTTTTAAAGAGTCAGGACAAAACTTCACTATGATTCAATGATAGTTCCATTTTAATCGCTAAAAATACCTGAGTCTCTACCTGGACTCATCGTTGAAGCATAGCTACTAGATACGAAAGCCCGTTAAACGAAAGCTTATTCTATTCTGTTCAAAAGCATTGGAACCATCGTAAAAGTTACGTTCACACAAGTATATTTTTTCCACGGCGAACTATCCCTGTAACGAGAAATTGATGCTGCGAGCCTTAGGGTTATTTCGATCTTCACTGAAATCAAACAGTATGATGCAGTTCCATCCCGCATAAATTTATAGAAGGTATAATGTTGTGAGCACATGTCAAGCCATTTAAAATTAATATAACCAGCAGAGCAAACATTAAAAATACAATTACTCACTGTAAAGTTCTAGCACATTAAGCCTAATTTTGCGAATTGTAAAATACACTGTAACTCAACGTTTTGCGCGATAACGAGTATGGTATTTGTTCTTTTGCGTTAGCTTAACGATTTAAACAAAAACTAAGAACAGTAAAATGAGTCAGTTTTGAAGATACTTTTCAAAAAGCATCTCAAATGAGGGTGGATAGATCTGAAGATGTTTTGTGGTGTATGATAGAGTTGTGGGAAATACAAAATGTCAAGTGTTCCTACTGTCCTCCCTTCTGATGGGAAATGTAAAGAACAACTTCATAGGTGATTCCTACTTGCCATTATTATTTTTATGAATTGCATAAGTGCAAATATGACCAATACTTTTTCATTGTAGTGAACGAAATGGTGAAAGCTATGATCCTGTGAAGTGGAGTGAATATTTTAATATTCGCGATGATATAGAACTCGAAGGGGGAGTAAGGCTATGTATTGTAATTTTCGCTATTCTAGACATTTAGAATCTATCGTCGTGGTGTTGAAGGGCCCCTCCTTTTCTTTTTACATGGTGGTGGTTTCTCAGCTTTAACATGGGCGGTCCTAAGTGTATGTATTCTTGCTACTACGTAACTTGCTTAGAGTCTTATTACTGATCAAGTTAAGTGCCAATGTTTGGCAGTAGATATGAGGGGCCATGGCGATACAAAGTGCACCAATGATGACGACCTATCTATTGACACTCTCTCGAAGTACGCTTGTTTCTAGAATTATGTTTTATTTAAGGGACATAATAAAAATAATATTCGCTATGTATCCAATGGAGGCTCCGCCAATTATCCTTGTGGGCCATAGGTGAGTGACTCAAAAACTTATGTTAATGTTTGAGATTTGCGAAATATTTTGATTTTTTGGATTAGTTCTTGCCACATTATATTTGCCTTACCTCTTGAAGGTGCTTTTACTATTTTGTAACATACTTTTATATGACTGAAGATTATAACCATGCGTCCTTAACCACTTATGAGTTGTGTGCATCGTTTTTGGAGGCTAAAATTTTTTTAGCAATGTTGTGTATTGTTATTGCTACTAATCCTGTGTAATTTGTGGCTTTTGGTGCTATTCATTTGCTGCACACATTTTCGAAATATTCCGGCAAATTTCTTGAAATTTAATCAATGTTTATGAATGCAGTGCTAGTCCATCACTACTAATTTCAAATAAACTTTGATAGATTATAATGAACCGTATTGTTTTTTTTCTCTTCCACCTAAAATTGCCTTTTTAGGCTGTCCTTGGATGAAAAAGATTAATGCATGTTTATTCACATAATACTTAGTAGCTTTTGCTCAGAAGTCAACTAAAAATTCTCTCACCATAACTGATTTACACCACTTAACAGAAAAGGCGTTTTGATCGTGGTCTGCACCACTTATGTCTGTTGGTTTGGCTATTAAATAATTGTATGTTAAATTACGGGAAAAGTTTGTGTTGCTTTCGCTTTTCATGCCATACTCATACTCTCTCTCTCTTGAAGTTGTTATAATCATGCCAACGTAGAAATCATTCAGCCAGTATAAGGTGGGAGATTAGTTGAACGTATAGGGTTTATTTTGGAACATCTTCAACTAAAAAGCTTAATTAAATATTTGTGGGCCATTAGCTTAATATACTGATCTTTTCGAACTTAGTCATTTATTTGCTGTTTCACACCATAGTCACATGCTGAGGCCTTAATGTTACAGTCTTTTGTAATCTAAAGGAAGTATTCGGCTCCACCGACATGTAATGTGGGAGTGTTTTTTTACTAAAGGCCTCACGAAAAATTCTGTGACCGATTGTTTAGGTGTAAGTGGAAATTTCAAGAAGTGTAATACATTAGTTCAGTATACCCTTCAGTATGTGGAATTCGTCAGGTATTCTGGCTTTCAAGTTTGCTGAAATTTAGAAATATAGTATATATTTAAGTATATTGTACATTTTATTAACGTAGTGTTAAGGGACACGGCATTTTTTTCGTGCCACAGTGTTTTGTTGGAAACCTGTAGGATTACACTCGGATTAATCATGCTCATTCGATTACTCACATTAAAGTAATTCTATATTTTTTACAGAAGCAATGCTCGGTGATTTAGATTGTCTCCGTTACGTATGGTTATGACTCTGAATTTGTTCTTTGTTCACAGTATAATAGATTTGTATATTACATCGAACTTTATTGTCTAAAAGCACCCATGTGCTTTTAGACAAACATTTTCAGCGTTAATCACTTTTATTTTGTTTTTTATGGTTTACTCGGTACATATAGTTGTAAAAAATACTAATACAGTATTATAAATCCTTGTAATATTCGTCACCTCAGCATGTAAGGGTTAGGATTGTTCTTAGTTTCACCCTATCAGTCTGTAGATATTCACAAATCGTTCCTGTTTTTGATTAATTAATTAACTCATTCACCAGGTGGGGGCTAAGGATACTCCACAGTTGCACTAACAGTAGTAGGTTGAGCGGTGTTCGGACGAGAGATTTAGTGGCCAAATGACAAACGTCTGAATCATTAAACAACGTCTTCTAGTTGTCAAACACTGGAAGTTTTCTGCTGGATCCGTTTTACATAGATCTTTTTCCAAACATTAGTAAAATAATCGATGTATTTGAACTGTTCATTTTTTAATTTTGAAATTTGTTACCTATTTGACCAATTTTTATTGTTTACTGCATAGTAATCGAGGCAGACGTCAATATTTCTACAAAAGTAAATAGCTTTCGATGTACATAATTCACGGTCGGTACATTGTTTTCCTTATTTTAGTATGGGTGGAGCTGTAGCAGTACATGTGGCATGCAAGCGAACTATCCCTTCCTTGGCTGGTCTTGTTGTTATCGATGTAGTTGAAGGTAATAAAGATTTTCCATATACATGGTTATTGTATAATTAATTCTCTACTTTTACTTTGAGTCTGATTGTCTGTGGGACTGTTTAGTCACGAATGTAACATACATTTTCCAACAACAGGGGATTTACTTTCCTCACTTACAAGGACTGTATTATTTAGGTTTTGTAAGTTTGGAGTCAACTCTTAGAAACTTGATGCCATGTTGATATCCACGCCTTAATCCCGAGTCAGGATCAGCATGTCAAATGCTGGGTAAATCCAACTGAACTGATCAAGAAGTTAATTAAACTTAATATAATTATATTTTATTATTAAACAATAGTTTTTAAAGCTCGCATCCAGTTATAAGCCTTTTATTAAAATTACTGAATCATCTATGCTTTCACTACATGACAGAAACCTGTAGCTAACAACGAAGTCTAATTTCTTGTTTGAAAATGACTTGATCTCATCAACAATTCTTGCATATCTAAACTTGGTGATATTATTAGTTACCTGAGTGTTATTTATATAATTAGGTTTAACAAGCGAAGCAAGTTATAAAAGGATATTTTGGGAGGTTAGCCGAAATATTGCCTTTAGGTCAAAAACCATAATTATTATGGAATACTGGCAAGTGTGCATACCTTCGATTCTGGTGTAAGAGACAGACAAACGGTAGTTGTACCACCATTTCTTTAACGCAGGTGGTCCTCTTAGATTCTTTGTTGCTGCGCTTCAATTGTTTGCTGTATTGTTATCAATATTAAAAATTTTGGAACTGTCGGTTAACCTTATTTCTTTCTGACTGTATACCGCGTAATAGTAAACATAGCACTCACCTAAATGTATTTATCATCAGTTTTTCAACTAATGCATATGGTTTACATGTATCCTTAGTATATATATTCTTGGTTTTAATCATGAAAATCAATTTTCTAAAATTTTTTAGGATCTGCTTTGAGCTCATTACGTGGCATGACAGCTTTCTTACGTTCTCGTCCTCAAAGTTTTTTTTCTTTACCTCAAGCAATTGAGTGGAGGTTAGTTTAACGTTGTTACGGAAGAGAACACTGGTGGTAAAGTTCTACAGAATAATGTTCATAATCTACTTATATTTATGTTTTGATTTTTATAATTTGTAATGGTTATACGTTTTTGCGTTAAATTGCATTTTTCTTCATAGCATAAAGTACATCTTCATGTAAGGATGTACTTTTAAGCTTTAAATATCCGATTGATTGCATACACTATCAGTTGGTATATCCATGTGATCAAGTGACATAAACTTGTACTTCTGATCATTTTTCTAAGTTCCTGCTCTTTACTGTTCTAAAATTGCTTTGATTATAAGATGATTGATTGAGTTCCACGTTCTCAGGTTTCTAACATACGTTCAGCTGAAGTAGTAGTGTCAAAGTTGACTAAGTAATTGAATTTTTGTATCTCAAAAGCCGGATGTTCATATTGAACTGTTGTTGAAACTTAAGGCTCCAGTTAATTGCTTATTCAGTATCAAGTAACATATTTCGCAATTAAATCCTCTGCACAGTTTTTAACCCCTTAATAGTGACTTTCTGATTAGAGTTCATTCTTGTTAATGTTAAATTTCATCTTTGTTTACTGTTGTTTGTTGGTATATTTCATGTTCATTTAGCCTTTTATTTGTGGTGTATTCTGATATACTATTCGGTAACTATTATTATTAGTGAGAGTATAAACAATTTCCACTTAGATACATTATGTTAATTCAGTATGATAATCACTTTAGATGGGGATTCGTGTACATTTGATTAAAGATTTAGTACTTTTAACATTTTTGTTGCAAATGTTGTGAATTATTCACTCTTTTCGCTTGGTTACTAAATTTTAATGTTAATAGAAATTTATTTCAAACTACTGATTAACACTTATTAAACGTATATTATTTTGTTAAGAGATACAACACTGTTATTGCTTATGTTCGGCATCCGTTGTTTTTAGAACAATTGACAATTAACCTTATATCAAAATGTTATTAAAGCACATAGTCTACTTTCACACTATATCAATTATATGTGGTATTAATTTGTATAAAATCAAATTCTATGTGATATCATTACATTTTGTTGATGATCTTTGTTTTCATGCATTTGAAGGGTTTTATTTTAAATAAGTTGGTAATATTCATGATTTTAATTATATTCCACATACCTGTTGACCCCTGTTCAGTATTTAAAATATATTTAAAATATTTAAAATGATAGCGGAAAATTTTTGTCACCATAGAGTAAAAATGATGGCGTTGAATGAATTAAAAATTCAGTTTTTTCTCTGTAAATTGTATGCAATACACAAATCGACACTATATCTATATTCCAATCTTAAACATTCAATACTGAAATAAGTGTTAAACTGGTAACACTACATTTCATGAACAAACTAGTAAGACAGCACCTCATATTTTTGTATGAAATTCATTCACCCATATAACTATAGAACACTTTCGTGTTGTGCCTGATGTCAGCTTGTGTTGGAAAACCTAACCCTAAATACGCAATCCGTACCCTAAATACTTAATCCTAACCAGGAACGATGTATGGACTCTTAACAATCTGTTTGGATCCCTATAAGTGTTCGAAAAGAAGTATAATCAGCATTTGTATGAACGAGCATTTATGTATTAGTTTTCTTCGATTTACAGACAGAGTATCCTATCTGTAGTGGATGTTGATAAATTCATGAATGATAACAAATCTGTTCGCGCTTACTTATATTATTTTTTTTTCCACAAACTATCCATTTAAAAAACAATTTTCTTAATGATTGATAACTGATTGGAAACTCATCACAGTTATTTTAAGTTGGTCTCCGTTCTTTTCTCTTCCTGAAAAGTCTGATTTATCAAATAATTATAATTTTCTTTTGAATTTTGTTCATAAGTTTTAATTAACCTTCGTAGGCCTTTGCTACAGAACGACCTTTAACACAGTTATCGTAAAATTTATTTTTCTATACAATATAGATGACTGATTAAAATGTGATATAGTAGTGCTCTTGGTTCGGTTTTTACATTAAAATAAGGAAGCAAAATATAACTACCTTCAGGAATAAAATATTTCGAAGAAGGGCATAAACCGGACAAATATTGCTGGATAGAATTTTTTACGAACAATTAAATTGGGATCGAAAGTGTTTGTATTGATACCATATGGAGAGATGCTCATCTAATATACTTGTATTATTTGACCACTTATCAAAACTATGAGACTTACTGGTCTGTATATGATTCGTTGTTATGTCTCAACTTAACCACTATTTGGCCTCCGAAATAGATCAAATCGAGATGGATGATATCAACTTATGTTTTTACTGTGTGCTTCCAATTATCACCAAGAGAAAGTGTATATTCGGTGTTTGTACAGTCTTCTCACTGTACAGTTTTAAAATATGGTCATTGTAGTTAAGTGGTGTTCCAACCAATCGAGTTTTTGATGTCATATCCCCATATACTTGCTGAGTTGTATTTAATCTCATCTTGTCAAGTTATTTTTCCTGGTAAAGTAAACCTCCAGGTGATCATATCATCGATTGGATAACCTTCACCAATGTAAAGCTGCTGACATTTATTACTTTAATTACATTAATTACTTTCCATTTATTTTCTAGCGTTCGGAGTTCGCAAATACGTAATGTAAATTCAGCTCGTGTATCTTTCCCTGGTCAGTTAAAGCGTATCACAACTGGTCAGACTGCAACAAGCGAACTGGATTCAGGGATTGTGGTTCTTTCTAGAGCTGTTCCGTCTATTCCTTCTCTAACTTCAACGTTAGATGGTGGAGTCTGTTCTGTAAGTCGATTATCAAGTCAGCCATTGGTTGAAGATTCAGAAATAGATGACCCTAGAAGTTCGCAAATCAATTCTCAAAATAATTTAGAGGTTGATCAAAATTCAACAAGTGTGAGTTATCTTTAATTCCTACTTTTATGTACTTCACCATTTCATTTATGGAGTTATATAAATAGAAATGTTTTCGTTCCTAAAAGATATTTATTGGTAAAGTATACGTTCAGTCGTCTTTTGTATTTTCAGTCAGAATAAATTTGTTGCACTTGTGGTTGTGGGTGTGTTGAATTTACTTCTGTTGTCGTTTTTTGCTCATTGTGTATAGCTCTCTTATTGGTAATTAGTTTTTTTGCTTTCATCTTAAATGCTTCCTTGCTTTTACTCATCAACTGGTTGATTTTAGTTAATAAAAAAACGTTATCCAGCAATTTATGTGTATTTCTCCCTTTTGATAATTCACATCTATCCTTGGCTAAAGTTGTACATTGTATTCTGTTTTGTTGCTTATTTTGTGTCAGCCAGTCATCGAAATCGTGTGGGACTTGACATGAATATGTCACAGTTTACGCTGTTACATTCCGCGTCTACACAGTGAGTGAGTGAGTGAGTGAAGAATCTGATAAAATAAGGGAGGGAAAATAATTGGGAATGAAATAAAAAGTATAACATAAAAGGAATCGAATGTGATCGAAGGATGAAAAGTATGAAATCTTACATTGGATTTCGTACTCAGAAGAGGATAGGTGATTACCACAACTGTATTAATGTTGACAGAATTCTGGACACTTACCTCGATTCTGGGGTTTTCATGGGAATATCAGCATCATTAATCACTCTCTCTTTTGTTTGTTACACGCACATTGGGGTGAAGATTTTCGAAATTGCGTTTGAATTTACGTCTTCGGCGAAAATAAACATGCATTTTCCGGTTTAATATTTCGTAGGACTAGAATAAGAAATTTGGAATTAGAGACCTCTATTTGCGAATATTGTTTTATCATAGAAAGGAGGGTTCTGTTCTATTTCTAAATGATTTAAAAATATTTTTTATTGTTGTTTAAACAAATACACATTTGGAATTGTATGTTCGAAATTTTTGAGACCTTAGTAGTGGGTTTCGGATTAGCGTGTGCGTTCATAAGACTGTCGAGGTCTGTGACTGGTATGAAGATATTGTGTTGCTTACTAATGAGAACTGTTTCTGTTACTAGTCCTTTTCATGACTTACGACTGTTGTAATTCCTGTTGCCTAATATTCTTTAAACACGTTACTTCACTTGACCAGTAGCAAATGTATTCTACAGAAATTCGAATTGCCAAAAATAATGTAGTACGAACATTAGCATTTATGTAGAATTAACACTGGAATTTATTGTTTTCTCAATCCACTCGCTAGGGTTGGTTGATTGAAAATGCACCAATCAACATGCTCCTACCTGATAACGTCGCAAGCATTCATCAATCAAAAGAATTATCCTCCTAACAGGTTTGTATCAGCAAAAACAAATGATGTCAGCATTTTGACCGAGTTTCCAATGGTTAAAATTAAGTTGAGGCCTAAAGGGGAGTTATCCTTATAATCATCAGGAGCATCTGACCTTTGCTTTACAGATTATATGCAAAATAATAAAAAATAGTACATCTTAAAAACTTTTGGCTTCTATTCGTTTTCAGTGGAAAGATTTGCGTTAACTCCTGCGTTGAGATTTGGAGTTTATTTGTCATCATTTGTGTTGAAACAGTTCGTTTGTTGTTGGGTATAACGAGTTCGCTATTTGGTTAAAACTTACTTCATTGCTGCCCACATCTTTTTAACAGCTGTAATTGATTGCCTGATCAATAAATATTATGGGAAACAAATAATTCGTGGTTTTCCTGTTTAGAGGCCTACGATGGCTTGAGCTTATTTTTAGTAACAATTGAATAGCTTTAGGAAAGATGGATTTAGATTACCTTTATGTTTATAGTTATGAGAAAAGCACCGTTTCAAAACTGACGAGAAATCATCTTTTATATATACAGCATCGATATTATAGTTTAACTCAGTCACAATGCTAGGCTAAATAATCTATGGAGGATTCTGCCGTAATACTGTCATTCAACTAATTAACGGGTTTTTTCTATCCTTACTAAATGAAGCGGTAACATATTCTGATTTACGTGATTCATGTCGTACTTAATATCCATCAATTCAGACAAAGAAACCAATGAATCAACAGGTTAGTGTCAAAACATTGTACTGGTAACTTTACCTTAAATGGTATGAATCATCAAACTTCTATTATGAATATATTGAACCAAATAAGTTATTTATCTTTGCCTGTTGTCTTTAAGATATCAGGAAACAGGGATATTCACAAAAACTACATACATTTGGTACATTTTTACCTAGATCGATTCGTGAGTTTAAGGTGCACATCAATGTTAAATATTTTTGTACAATTTAATCTTTGATGTACAATAGGACTATGATTTGGTAAGTTAAATTATATGATGACGTACAATAAAATTCTTGCATCAGTTATTAGTTTATTGGAAATGTTGCTGAGACACTAACTATAATGCCATGGAATTGATCGAAACTTTGTCACAATCATAGTTCTTTATTTTAGAAATTTCTTTTTAAGTTAGAAGGCATGGTGCCATTCCGTTCGTTCAACTGATATCATGGTTTCTAAATTTCATTATTATCCTTAGTTGGTTGATTGAACTAGTTGAAGACTTAACTCTATGCGATTAATTTTATTAAACGTTTCTCAGATCTTTCTGTGTCGTTCATTACGTTTTGTCACATTCTGTTTAGACCGTGTTTTGCTCAAACATACTTTTATAGCTTCCTATCTGTTCTAATGATGTTGGCAGTTTACAATACAATACAGAAAATGTATCAGTGAATTCGTCTAAATTTTCTAGCCAATCTACTGAAGAATCGATTCATTCAATAAGTGGTAGTACACTTCCTTCTTTTACTACTTCTACTATTTCAAAACACTCTGGTTTAGTAACATGTCAGTCGAATTTTCCACAGTATACTTGGCGAATAGATTTAATTAAAACACAACCATTTTGGAAAGAATGGTTTTCTGGTTTGTCTAAACTATTTCTATCAATACCTGAACCAAAATTACTTCTGTTAGCTGATGCTGATCGATTGGATAAAGATTTAACCATTGGACAAATGCAAGGTTTGTATTAAATGTTTTATCTTATTATTGTCGTTATTTTAGCAAAATAAACCAGTGAATTACTATGATCATTATGATTTAAATACAGTACAGACAAGATATATCGATTCTTATTCTAGCTTCAAGTCATATATAGTGCTTCAGGTTTGGAGATTAGATGGGGCAGGTAATAAAGTTAATATACTTAATAGCACTAACGTCAATATCACTTTGTATCATTTTGTCCTACACGGTTCGTTCATTTATTCTGTTCATATTGATTAAACATTATAAATGCGTATGTTGATGAGTTAACGCATGAAGCATATTGTATAAAAAGTGACAAGATTTATGTCTTGTGTCATGAATTTCTTTTGACTGTATCATGTATATTTGTAAAGCTAAGGATCATGAATAATATTTTTTTCTAGAAATCAACCGCACTAATTAGTCAAGTTTACGTTCTTCTGAGTTAAAACATTTTAGTTAAAAAAAGACTTCTGTGTCATCTGAAAAACAGTGCTCAAGAGAAGAGTTATTCTTTGAAGTTTGTGGAAAAGTTTATAACTGAAATACAAAAATAAACATAAATCATCTCTTTTTTGATGATCAATGGTATGGTAAACAGTGCATGTCGAAGAATAAGCACCATACTAAAAACCAGCATCCCTTATGGTAAATTAATCTCACTGTATAAAACATATATCTGAAATCAGATGTTTACATATTTTTATCAAACCTATTTTTGTTAGTTTATATATATATATATATATATATATATATGTTGCAGTATATGTTTTTCGGAAGGTTATAGAGACAAAATGCTCCTCGATTTTATTAGACATATACCTAGGCAACGATTTAACTTTTAAGAATAGACAGCCTTAAAAGTTCTTAATTTTGTTATTTAATGACGGACACAAGATAGAATAGTAATAGATCTCAAATCGCTTCAAGTATTTAGCGGCAATAGCTATTTATAAAAAAAGGTTTAAGCGAATCTCCTTTCCTGAACATCTATTTTTTATTAGTGTTTGAGTGATAAATAATGAATTAGTCAGTACATGAATATTTACTTCGTAATATTAGTAATATGTATTATTGTCATCAATATTGATATTCAGGTTGTATGAGCTGTGTAGGTAGGTACTGACTACTACCTGGTTAGTACTCAGGCGATTATCCTAGTTTATAGTTGAAGATATTGGATGATATGGCTCCAAATCGATTTCAATGGAGCAGATGCATTCACTTCCCATAAATCATCAGTCCCGAAATCTTCTGCAGTTATATGGGTGAATGAATATCATGCAAAAATACGAGGTGTTGTCTGACCAGTTTGTTCATGAAATGTAGTGTTACCAGTTTAACACTTATTTCAGTATTGAATGTTTAAGATTGGAATATAGACATAGTGTCGATTTGTGTATTGCATACAATTTACAGAGAAAAAACTGAATTTTTAATTCATTCAACGCCATCATTTTAACTCTATGGTGACAAAAATCAATTTTCCGCTATCACTTTAAATATTTCGAAGAGTCTTGAAATTTATTTCTATTACTCGTTATACGTTATATTCGGACTTTAAAAAGGTGAAGTCTAATTCTCAATTCTGTTTGGTTCATCTCTCAGGTGCATATTTTACAATTTATATTCATACAATACAGTTTTTTTTAGGTAAATTTCAGGTTCGACTGTTCCCTCGCGCTGGTCATGCTGTTCAAGAGGATACTCCAGAGAGAGTAAGTTATAGTTTCTTTTTCCTTGTTGTCTTCCTCAGTAGGTGCCTGTTGATGTATTGGAAAGTATTTGACAGTTGTTGTGTCGCTTTTTCGTTTTTTATTGCTGTATGTGGACATAATGATGTATGTGGTCTATTGACCGGTTACATTTGTGTTGTGACAATAAGTGTCTGTATATCTAGTAGTCAGTACATCTGACATTTTTTTCTCATGGTCACAAATTCTATCTATACTGCAGCTGCTCGGGTTTAACCAACCGTAAAGTATTATTGTCTGTTACACAACTGTAGGTACATTGATCCGTATTACGTAGATTTTTTACAGCACTAAGTTTTTAAAATGAAATTTGAAGCGAACTTTATATCTGGATCATTACATCACACCGCAAACAAATTGACTTGTTAGTTTGCCTCAGTTTTCAACTTAAAACCCACTATCGTTCACTTTTTGTTTCGTATGACCAAACATATGTCATTTTGACATAGTTATACTTATAAACTTATATGTGTATCGTTTTATTGATTTGTATGGTTTTTTTGTATTCTTTTATATAAAAGTATGTATCTAGAAACCTCAAAGTATAAGAGTAAGGTTGTTTTCTCCGGAAAAATATTGCATGTACTCTTAACGCAACAAACAGTATGCAGCTTAACATCCTAGTGAGCGTTGTTCATGTTAAATGCTGAAAGGCCTTTTTAAAAATGAAACTAGATTCTTGTTTCGTCTTGGTCGGAAACTTTAAAATGAAATACGCAAACATAGTCCAGTCATTCGTATCTGTATCGAACGTATTATCCTTGAAGCAAATAAATCGGAATAGTTCTTAGAATACTATAACTAGGTAAAATTGTTTGATCACTGGGTAGTTACCAATATTGTGTTTGTCTAGTCTTTTAGCGCTAATCGAATTCGATTGATCATGGTTAAATATAACCAACAGTTTAAGGGACTCCATACGATGTCCACTATGATTTGATATTTTTGGTTTGGAGGTGGCGAACAAGAAATTCTTTACTTCGCCTTCGTGCTAGCTGGCATTAGTTAATAAGGCGTTCCTATAATACTAGTGAAACTGACACCCCCTGTCGTACTTAAACCCCGAGTCATCCAGTTTTACGGTCTAGAACGTTACTAATATGCTGTCCGGGTCGTGACTGACCTCCTTTACGACATTGTTTTATCACTGACTCGTGGTCAATGTTGTGTTTGCCTTATCCTTCAGTTCTCATGGATTTCTATAGGCCATAACTAGGTCGTTTTTGTTGGATTTAGGAATTCACAATTATATTTTTTAAAAAGGGATTTCGTTCGTTACAACATTAACAAAAGCCTCTCACGAAAAAAATGTATGTTCGTTTTTTTTAAATCCAGCCATATCACCTATAGGCTACTTATTGTTTTAAATTTGAGTTAGTTTAAGGCTCGCATTCTTTGCATTGTATTAAATTACACGGAAAAAGACGTCACCAAACTCTCTTGGCTTCTTCACCTATCGTCGAAATTCATTTAAATTAATGGGGACGGCTTCCAACCAATTATTTTTAGTTTGGGGTTGTGAAGATTATTGAATTTCATTTAAATCATGATATAATCAATGTTAGACCACCATTAAAAACCTGGAAGCACGGGACGGCCGTTTTTTCCTTGTATGGGACTGGTGAGCAGTGCACATTCACGATCCTGCATGTAGGACTCGAAATAAGGACTTTCAGTCTTGTATGAACGCCTAACCTCTAGACCACTGAGCCGGCAATGTTAGTGTCTAAGTTCAATCAATTCACGATATTGCGCAAGCCAGTGCCTCTAGGTTTTCAATGTTGGTCTAACATTGATCGGTTCATGATTTCAATGAAAACAATTGTTTATTTTTCGTCTCGTCTGAGTCTTTATATATATCGTACCACATTGAAATGCTTTAGTTTCATATATCTTTGTATTTGGTTGACAGTATAATTAGTTGTGTTTTATATCTTGTCTAATCTATTAAAACAATTATTTCACCATAATTTATGGTTTTCTTAAAAAAAATAATTTTCATTTTATTTAGGTTGCGGAATGCCTGGCTAGATTTCTAGTACACAATCGATTCACTGAAGCTCGGTCAGATTCTTGAACAATCAATATAGGTATTTTAATAATGATAATAATAATACTGTTATTCAACTTGTAAATTTATTTGTTCGTTTTTTTATCTTCTATGATAGTTATGATACTGGAACATCAAATGATACCATGTTAACAGATTTCTTAGAGATTTAAAAAAAAACGTAGTTCTAAACTGATTTAACACTAAGTTATGGTAGTAGTAACCATACTCATGTTTGTGTAGTTCTTTGATATTGATTGGATTTTGTTGAATAAGATACATGAGTATGGGTTGTTGAAGAGTGACATTTAACAAGAAACATAACTTCAGAACTTTTTCCAATCCACTAACTACCTAGAATTTTTGAACAGCTATGAATCGGTGTTCATGTTAAAAATTCATTTATTCTTTATCTTTCACTGAAACTTAGTGTTATTCTGTTTGTTTCCTTTAAAATATATTTTTATATCCTATTTTCTACTATTATTGGTTTTATCACTTTGTCTACCTTGTTTTCTAACATTTTATTTCCCATTTGCTATAATATAGCATGCTCCTTTTTATATTGTTTATGATTGATTTATTGGTCTTTCATTGTACGTTTTATTCTGATTACGTTGTTTTCCTGCTGTATGTAAGTAGTTCAATTTGTTCCTGGGAATTATTATTGATAAAGTGGGGATTATTTTGTTATTATTGACATCTAAATATTGATCAGTGTTTGTTGATATACGTAAATTTTGTTCACCGAATAGTTTAAACCGCATGAATTATAGTGAGAAGGCTTTCATTATTTGGTGAGCAAATTTTTAACATGTCCCCTATTGGATTGGAATCAAAAATAAAAAAACCACTAGCTAAAAGACTAGTTTTTTTAGGTGGTAAAATGATATACTTCCTTACAAAACATTAACACGAAATCAATATGATAAAATGATTTGGGAAAAATTAGTTTTCAAGTCACTTAATTTCTAATCAATTAAGATCTCTTATTTGTACCCGTCATAGCGACAAATAATTCAAGTTGTCTCTGAATGATTTTTACTTTTTTTTAATCTATTTAAAAAAATATATGTATGATTATATACATAAATATTAGGGATGTTGCCCTCTTTCTTCTGTTATCTACGTTGTATCCTTTTTGTATTCTGGTTTATATTTTTCATTTTCCCTATATTCCTTTTTAATATTAGTGATCGTCAGGTGATATTACATCATGTATGGACGATAAGCATTGAATCATATTCTTCGTTCTTTTTTTAAACGGAAAAGAATATACAACTTAGTATTGTTTGTTTGAATCTTCCCATCGATTTGTTAGGACTGCAACTGGTCAGTCTCTAATTGGCATATGTGCATACTGTGCGTATTGCCTCGATATACCTTAATTCACAAGCATTCCAATTAGGGACTGACCAGTTGCAGTCCTAACAAATCGATGGGAAGATTCAAACAAACAATACTAAGTTGAATTTAAACTTCACCCCATCGCACAAGCAAGTGGCTATCAGGACTCAATGGCCGAGTCGATAACGCGATGGCGTTTGAAGCGAGGGTACTGGGTTCGAGTCCCAGAGTGAACATCAACTCTGAGATGCAGGTACATCCAGCTGACGAGTCCCAAATAGGACGAAGCGCGCAACCTGGATTCCACTGCTAGCCACTATCCATCTCGGAAAAGAATATACCTTAAAGATTTGACGGTAAAAGCATAATATACTGATGCCTTTGGTTTAACCAATCAGAATTAGGATAAAGGCTTATGTTTTTTGAGGGAAATTTAAATTGCAGTGAGGAATAACTTATAGTTTAAACTATAATATAATAATAATAATAAATATCAAAGTTTTAAACGAAGTGAAATTTGACAATATTTGATTCTTAAAATGCTTGAAATCTATAAGAATATCTATTATGCAACTAGTAATGATGGTGCTCGAGCTAAATTACATAAAATACTCGGTACTAAGGCAGATTGTATGGTAAAATACTTGATTCCGTTCATTGCGTAACCAAGAATGTTGGATAATGCTAGATAATATTCTCCTTTTCTTACTTTTACTTCGAATCCGAACACAAAGTTTCTGAAATTTGTAAATAGAAAGGTGGCAAAACTTTGCGCTATAGCTGATGTCAGTTCGTGTTCAAACCCTGACCCTTGTTCGTAAGCCTTCAGTTTGACTTTCAGTACCTAACCCTAACCTTTTTGCGTCATAACTGGTGTCAGTTGGTGACCGAAAATTCATAAGGTGACAACACTAGCACAACTCCTAATATTGATATAGATTCGTAAGCATGACTGTTCTTTATTACATGGGATAATTTGACATATGAGGGTTAATTACCCGATCACAGCAGTTATTCTGTAGTGCACGAAGACTTGGTGAGGATAACCGATCTATTGTTTAATGCAAAATTACACATTGGTTTAGTAAAATATGAAAACCATACGTTATTCTTACATCTTCCTGCAGTTATCCTTCACATACTTCATGATTCTTTCAATTCTGTTCTGTTCTCTTTAATTCACTTTTCTGCTGCCAGGCATTCCACGTCCGATTTCCGCTACATACTACTTATATTTATCAGCATAATTAGGATGCACCCTAATCCCACTGTTATTTCATTGCTTTGTGTCATTACTTGTTTTATAACTAGGCAGCGTTCTCTGATCGTCTTGCACGTCACCGAATGTCGTCAATATGTTATACTTTCACCGACTTGACAATAAGAACATATCTGTTTTTTGTTTGTACTGTATCCTTTCTTGTATTCATACATGGTTATGTTTGGCTTATTTGACTTCTCTCCATTACGTAGTCTGTTTTTATTTGATGCTGTGTATGTGATGACGGTTTGTCTGTTTTTTTCTTTTCGTTCTTCCTGTTTTAGTTCGTTTAAAGTAAGGGGTATTTCTATATCTGGATGTGTTTATTTTTTCCTCATGTTTATTATTATCATTATTATGCTTTATTCGTCACTGTTTTTCTATGTATTCTGGTGACTGTCGACCACGTATCGAAATCGTTTTGAATGTTTATTGGTTTTATTCACATAATTTGGAGGTTTGTAGTAGTATTAGTAGTATGAATGTTTAAATTCAAAACACTGAATTATAGGTTTGTCATGACAAAGGATATTGTTTTGGCTTCATATTATTCAATCAGAATATGGAGAGTGTATATCTAGGAAGGCCTGTAATCATACTGTTTTGAACGGAGTCTAGTGGGGGAAACCAATTTATTGTTTAATGCAAAATACAGTGTCTCTGTAAAATATAAAAACCATGCATTAAATACACCGTTCGCACATCTCCCATCACTTCCCTCTTACAAACTTCATCGTTCCCTAATTCTTGTTGTCATTACAATTTCTCTCTGTTTACATTCCTGTTGGCTCCAATTCGATCTTTTCAATCTTCTGCTGCCAGGCATTCCACTTCTGAATGGTGTTACATACTACTTATACCTATCAACATAAGTGGCATGCACTACATTACCACTAATTTATATTGCAGGTTTTTGTAAGCCTACACTAGAACTTGTATAGAAAACAAGGCATTCATCAGTAAAAAAAAGTGAAGAAGATTAATTCTAGTACAAAATATTGAATCATAACTGTGACATTCTTGGTAATATTTCTATCTACTTTTATATAAATTCAACTTACTTAGTAGTTTCAGTTCTTTTTTTAACGATTTTCTTTCTTTATTGCGTATAACCTTACTCTGGACTAAATCCACATTTTGCTTCTTTAAATTGTGGATCCTCTTCATCAATGTTAGTACTTGCAGTAGCTAACTGTCCTTTTCATTATGAACAGTCCGGTAGTATCATTAGCCTATATACAAAAAAAATAAGCTCAACAACGACTGCATGAAATTATACTTTGTTATTGAATTCTTTGATAGTCATTCGGAAAAGCGACAAACAAAAGTACACTTTATAATAAATAGTATCTATCGTTAATATGTATTAGTCTCCAAAAACTAACAGGGATTGTATAATGTAGAGTAGGATTCAGTTGAATCTGGTTTTTCGGTTTGTATTGTCTATTCTAAAGAGGTTTCTCATTGATGAATATATGCTATCATCATATAAGGAAATTTTAATGTTATGTTTTGCATTCAAACTGTCTTTTAGTATAGAAACATACTTGGTATACTAATGCTACTAAAATAATCGTTTAAATGTACATGTCGAATGTATTTTGCACTTACTCCAGGGAGAAAAGTAAATCCAATAAAATGGTTTACTATGAAAATAACGTTGCTGATGGCCAGAGAATTTTTATATGCCGAATAATGGCAAATTCCTTAAGAATCTCAATGGAGTGTATTCGATGCGCTACAATTTGCCATTTCACTATATTATTTGTCGCTGCTTTTGAGTAATTCTAAGACCTTCTGCTTCGTTTTATTGAATACTCAACTGAATAAAGCTGGATTTTTGTATATTTCAGTGTTATCATTATTAGCGTTTGAACTTATTGGTCTTTTTATTCAGTTATCAGTTTGTTCTTTGTTACGTTTGCATTGGTTACTTTTAGTATAAATTCCTATTCATCAATTGTATATCTGTTAAACTTTCATCGATTTTTTTGTTACTGAATCTGCTAATTGTTAGTATGTAAATTACTCCTTTAAACCAAAATGTCTTCATCCCACTGCATGGACTGTATATATACATTTAAAAAAGAAAATTTTCAGTGACAATTAATAATAAACTTCATAGTTTTTCTTCATTGTTCGTTGTCAGGTAAATATGACTAACATAAAAGTTTAAGAAAACAATAGTTCCATAAATCTTTATAAATGTTATGTTGATGAGGTTCTGTTATGTTGTAACAAACGTAGTAGCGTAAACATGCCGACGTTTTTTTTATTCGACGTACTACATTTTTTCCAGTTTTCTTATCATCCATGCGAAAGTAACATGTATGTGTGTTGTCTGATTAAATTAACAGAGGTTGTTCATGACATTATGTATATACCACAGCATTTCTACGTACATAACCAGACAAACAAACACATAAATACATAAGAGAAAACGAGAGACTATTAGAAAAATAACGATCGAAATGAAAATCATAACTATGGTGTTTTTTTAAATGAATTTTTGGTATGCATGGTTTAGCAAAATACTAGAACATTGACAAATAGCGGTAAGACATTGGATTGTTAGTAACACTGTAATTTAATGCCTAGAAATCATGGTTAAATAATTAACGAACTAATTTCGGACATATGCAAACAGCGAGTCAAAACGATATATATATATATATATATATATATATATATATATATATATATATGACGAAATAGAAAGAAACATATTTTCATTTATTATTTAATTTTATTCCCAGTAAAAATGTGGGTAGACTTCAGTCATATTATTTCGGGTTCAATAATATTACATTGAACTACTATTTCCATACTCTATTATTTTCTAATATTTCCATATAGACGTGCAATTGTACCGATCTTATTATCTTGTTTAATAATGTTTTCTCATTTTTTTTATATACTGTGTATCATCTTGCTATCTTGAATAAAATACTCTGCCAGGGAAGTCCTACTCACTGCCTTCTCGTGGCATTACTGTTGTTTACGAAATTGAGAGGACGAAAAGCGAATATCCGGGTTCGTGGACACGAAAAATTCACCTAGGGTAGTTGGAAAACTCTGATTTCAAACCAATGGTGCACATGGGCTCTAGTATCATGAGGGAACAAATGGCGCATAAATTGATCGTTGGTCACCGGCTACCATGGGACTTCATCTCCTCACGATGCTCCACTACCTTGTGGATCAGACATTTAGGTCAAAGGCTCGGGTTGTGGCCCGCTAAGAAAACCACCTGCTTGTACCAATATTTATGTGTTTAAATAAATAAATAAACTCGACTTCTTTACTTCAGGTAGAACAAAATACTACATTCTGTATGTCATTGTTTACAATGATATTCACGAAAGCTAATGGTAATCGTCATTGTACACAACTACATATAATTACTTATCATTAATTAAAAATTTGTCACGTTACATGTAAATCATAGTTATACCATTTCGGTTAAATAGTTTATTTATAAATTATAATCCTAATTTATTGTTTTATGTATTCACAACCTCATTAAGCTAGTGGTTCTGTTTTTCATTATCTATTTATTTGCGTGTGGGATTTGAGGTTGGTCCTGCGCGCTTAGTAGTAGTTAATTTAATTCACTGATTTCAGTTTCTTTTGCTCTGTCGAATTAAAAACCAGGAAGCATTAGATAGCCGTTTCGTCCTGGTATGAGATTTCTTAGCACTGTTCATCCATGACTTTACTAAGAATCAATCCCTCATCGTTATACTTATAAAATTCATATTAGTGTAATGATAAATCATTTCTTTGTAATAAATAATTTGTTATACATTTCAAAATTTCTTTTGTTTCTTATCTGAATAATACCTACTAAATATTTTCTTTAAATTTTCAGTATCTCACATCAAGATTATTGCTGAATTCAATTATTCAGTTTTCATATAATGTCGACTATACTTTCTTCACGACTGGACAATCGCTAGTTAGACATAGTTTGTGTATGTGTATACATAAAGCTTTAATCATAGTATTCGTATAATTTCTTTTATAGAACCCTATATTCCATTGTTTCTCTCTTTCTCTCCTTGTAGTGTGACTATTCAAATTCAGTTTATTTCTGAAAATTAATTACTCAAAACGGCACTACAAAATTTCATGTCAACAATAACTAATTGAACAAGAGAATAGATAGTTAATGCTCATTGTGTTTTTTTTTTCTGTTTAATTCTCTTTATTCTTAGTATCTGTGTGTGTATATTTACTTATGCATGGTATATATTTCAACTTTAATAATGTTTTATTGTACGTGTAAAAGATTTCATTTTACTTCTGTTGTCAATTTTTTTTTAAATTCAAAAATGTAACTGACTATTTTTATTCGCCTGTTGACAACTTTTGTTTTCTCGTTTCTCATTTTTCATTTGATATAATGATTCTTGTAGATTTTCGATAGGTGTCATTATCATCAACTCTTCATTCATTCATGTATAGGTGTGTAGCTTCTTCTTTCTTGTTTTTTCTTCGAAAAAAAGAAGACATTCAACTTTATCTTATTTTTCTTTTATTTTGATTTTGTCTTCTCTAATAATTGACCGTGTCATTGTCAACGTGGAATCATATTGAATATTTTGGATTTTTCCTCTATTGAGCTAAAAAAAAACATCATGAATGTGTACTCTAAGCTGAGGATAATATTGAATTGCACATATTCAGTTATTGTTGTTATCGTATTCCCTGTACAAAATTGTCTCTTTTGGGGATTTTTCCTCGGTTTTGGTAAATTAGAGATCTTCGCAAGGTAAAAGTGTGTTCATCAGTTTGCCACTTACTGTTTTCTTTATCCACTTACTTTGCCTAAAGTTGTTTTTTGAATCATACTTATTGTTGCCATGTAGTTCTTTTTTAACAAAGTTGTTTCCGTTTTTTAATGCTGGTGCCAACAACTTATATTGTTGAGTCTATTGTTATTTGTTTCTGTGTGGTAATCAGTCACTTTAACTTTTTCTTTCTCGTTCACTTTGTGTTCTTACGTGTATGTGATTGTTGACAAGATTCAGTGCGTCTATCTACTTTTTTATCCGAGTTTTTTTCACTGTTATTCTTCTTGTCTCTCCCACCTGCTCTTATCTTTTCGATTCATGTATTTTTACAAAGAATATTTCTCACTGACAATCAAGATGAAGTGTTAATAAAACTAAAAATGCTAATTATTATCATCTTGTACTATTAAAATCCGTGTTTTTTTCTTTCTCATGTTGGTGGTTAACAAATAAAATTATGCCATTGTTAGTTCATTTCTGATAATCAATAATTTCATAATGTGTTTGGTTGCTACTGCTCTAATTTTTTTCATTCGATTGTCAAATGTGAGTTAATGTTATGCTTTACGATCACCTACGCTAATTCTATATTAATAACGATTAAAATATTCTCCTAATATAATACACTGAATCTATGTAAACTTGATAGATTAGATAACTAACATGCACAACAACGAAAATTCTCAATGCAATAGAAAGCAGAGGGAAGTTAGGCAGCCAAAAAGGAAGCCTATTGTTCAAGAAATGAAATTTGAAATGCAATAAGCATATTTAATAACTTGTAATGACCTTGAAGCACAGTAAAATTAGCAAGCTAAATACAAGAACTGTTGGTGAGACCCAGCAAATTCCTCGAAAAAAAAACCCAAAGGGGCCCTGAAAACGCTGGGAAACATTTTATTCAATCAGCGTTAAATGGAAGTTTCCCGGAAACATCTCGAAAGTGCAGAGTTACGTGTTATGCTTTCCGATTGGATGATTATTTATCCTGTTACTATGTTTAGTAGGGTTCCAGAAGCCTAAGACCATCTGATATGCTATAAATACCCTCTATTTTCTGTACATAAACTAACCTTGGAGTAAAGCGTTCTCTCTATATTACGCGCCTTTTCTCTTGTGTTCAAGTTGTCATATGAAGTTAGCCTGGAGTTATTAAAAGAACTTGAAAAACCTATTCAAGCGTTCAGTCAGAAGATTTATCAAGAACAACCAGTCAAATAACAACTATGTCTTCACGAAAATATCGAATAGAAAAATATCATTGTGGCTGCCCTTATCTGTAAGAATTATAATTTATCAGTGAAAAATTAGATCATTTGAAGTCTTCATAGCAGCCTACGTATAACTGTCAATACATAGTTTTGTACTGAGTAATTCAAATTAAACTAAATTGATCTGGTAGTACAATGTATTTGATAGGATCTAAGAAAACAAATCTAGTTTTATTCACATACAATAAATCATCTATGGACTGTAGTAGACTGTCCAATAAGTGCGCAAACCTAGGTTTAGAATTAATTTTTTAAAGTTTAGGGTGTGGCAGTCTTATCTGTTTTCTCAATACTTCCTTTTTGTTATAATACACTTATCTCATTTAAATTCCCATCATCCGAAAAATCTCCGTTACTTCTCGGAAGTTAAACTCATTAGGGATCTTATCATTCCTGAACTTCAAGTATCCTACTGGTATAGTGTGGATAAACTTCTCCAAGATTTGTTTCATCGGTAATGATCCGAAATACACGGAGGACTTCATTACATTCGCTTTTGCAAACAGGATGTCGATAGTTGTTTCGGTATTGGATGATTCTCGTAGTTGTCATAGCCCTCACTGAACTGCTTGATCCGCTTAGCGAGCACAATATTATCTCCAGAGACAGTCCTAAATATTCATGAATTTTATGAGTTTTCCTCCGCGTTATTTTTGTGACGGGCTATATTTGTTTTTTCTGTGTGTAGGTGACGTTGGAGTGTTAAAATATTCAATCTAACATAGTAGAGCATGTGTATCAATATTTACAGTTTCCCACATTTATCTGAACCGCAACCTAATTTGGTCAGGTTGGATAGCTATACACTGAACGCATTTCACGAAAAATAATTTCACAAAGCGATTATCATGATAAGTTATACATAAGGCGTCAGGTGCATACCGAATTTGTCAACTTTCCTATGGGAGTGATTTTCTCATTAAGAGGCTATTTTTCAAATGTTTTAATCGGACTAATAAAACAGACTTTTAAAAAAATCATGCTTAAACTGATTACTGTATGCTCGATACTTTCCAACTGTGTTACAAACAAACTATACTTCATTTGTCTTCGTCAACTATTCTAAGAAAATTAGATATATTGAGATATGATGGACAGTGAAAAAATTGAGTTTACTTCTCGAGAGTTGATCGTGATGTGAAAATATCACCAAATTATAAAATCATAATTATGATTCATAATAATATTGAAAGAAGCAACCTGTAGGAAAGATTCAGTTCTCGTCCAGTCCAAGGATGTGATACGATGTTGATTTATAAGGGTCTTTGCAACGAATGCTTACCATGACATACAGCTTTGCAATAACTTTGCATTTATAATTTGTTACATTTTTGATTAATTAGAACAATGTCACTAAGACAAAGGATAACATATATGGAGTTAGGTGGGTTGATTTCATGCAATATCATGAAAGTTGACGCAGACAAAATAGATATAGATAAACCTAATAGTACCATTCTGTGTATTTACACAAGGTAAACTATCAACTCCAGTTCTAGGTGCACTCAAAAACAGTTTTATTTATGATCCAAGAACTTCAGTATTGCTTTCTAGTTATGAATATAGATTGGCTTTTTCATGAGTTGCTTTAAATGTTATCTATGGTGTTTAGAGTCTTTCTTTCATATGATGAATTTAGTTTACGTAGATAGGTATATAGATCAACATCAGTAGTTGAGTTATTTTTTCCATAACATGGTATTGTTTCTTTTGACAATTATTATTGGCCGAATTCAAAGCAAAGTAGTTTAATCCACATCATGTATACATCACACTATGCGATTGGTCTATCAAGTCGTTAAGTATTGGTTTGAATAGTGTTAGTTATTTGGTAGGTGATTTTTCTAAAAAAAGTTAGTGAAATACTAAAGAACAGAACTGGTGTATATAAAGTCAACATTAATATTATTTCGGTGGCTTTATATCTTATCCAAGTTCTGCATTTTATCATTGTTCATATATGATTATATCACAGAATAAATAATATGAAATTGCGGAGTACTTTTGGTGAGATTATGAATCTTCTCTAACTGTTTTCGTGATTTTATTACGTCTACTGATTACACCAGCCGTCGAAAATCGTAGAAAATATAGATTGATTCATTCAGTATACAAAATCCATAGATTTGTTGATGTCACCGAATTATTCTTAGAGTAATGCGTTTGTAAATATTCACATAGTATACTTTTCATATCATTTTCACTATACAACTTAATAGACCTAAATAGCTTTGTTCACATGTTTCTTTGCTACTTTTTATTTTATTATCCTGTTATATAATGACTATTATTCAATCCAACACTTGATTGTTCTGTTAACAATCTCTTTGAATACTGAAGATGTGTGCTATCCATAATCTATTTCTCATACAATACAATACACTTATGTTATAATAAACTTATTTTTTCTTGATCAATTGTTATATATTTAGCTTCTGGCAATTTCATTGAATAGTTATACATTATAACCATGACTACTTTATTTCTTTTAGGTATTACTTTACAAAATGAAAAATTTGTTAACTACACGATCGACTAATCTTTCAATTTTCTTAACAGCCAAACATGGTATTTCACTACATACACAATCAAATGCATTATATGCTAATAAATCTGGTCATTTATTTAGGCGTTTAATGAATGTTCAATATGTGGAACAATTGGAACCTAATTTGCCAGGTCCTATATATGCATTAGTAAAATGGTGGTTTAAAATAAGACCTTTTAAAGCAGAACTAGCAGATCTTCGTCGTCGTATTCAACGTAATAAAGAAGGATTTGAGGTATGTCCACATATTTTTGTAATAAATATTAATGTTAAGGAATGTTACATAATTATTCAAAAGTAATGTAATAATAGTTTTATTGCAAAATGTTCATTTTTATTGTGAATTACATTATCAGCGTTTATTTTGAACAAAAGTCATCGTCTAAATAGTATCCAATGTGTTAAATAATCTGTTGTTGCCATTCATGTATCACTCCATTTTCATCGACCTATATAAGTTTTTACCGTATTATTGATTGATATTTTGTCCGCTGATACTGATAGATAAGGTTGATGCTGACATATCTATTGATAGTGTGGTGAACGAGAACACCATTGTGTACAACCAAATGTATTTGAATACAAAATTACAGAATCTCTTAGCAAAATCCAAGAACCATACAGTAAATATTTTGTTTGCAAAATGTAAATCAATTGTCTCAGACCTGATTGTTCCTTCGTTTCCACACCAATTATTATCTGTTCTCGTCCGCTTCGGTCTTCTTAACATTCCACCGCCACCAGTAACACACACCACAATAACAGGCCAACTTAAATACCTTGATACTTAAGTTACTTTGATCTAGAATTTCCATATTATCCTACTTCTCATATTCATATCCGTTCCAGACAGTATCACGTAATCTATGCTGTCATTATTTATTGTGTTTTTTTAACGATGGTGATGATGATGACGACAGTTTTGTCATTAATTCGTATTATTATTAATAAAAATACCGGTAATTTATGAATTTATATATCTTGTTCATCCTATGGAAACAAAACGCAACCTAAATAAATGTATTTAAAATGTCATATATGTAATTTATACCCTTTTATCGATCCTATGCAACGGACAAGATACACTGGAATAAAAATGAAATAGATTGATATCATGAATAGATCAGTGTTAGACCATAATTAAAAACCTGGAAACACTGGACGGCCGTTTCGTCTCAGTATGGAATTGGTGAGCAGTGCGCACTCAGGACTTTCGGTCTTGCACGCGAACGCTTAACCTCTAGACTTTTGAAACGGCATCCATTCATGATATCAATCTAAACTCAACAATCTCCACAACCCTATACTGATAAAAATAACTTTTATTTTCTACAAATACTGTTTTACTAAGAGAACTAATTGAGTTCAATAACTAACTCTGAGTTGTTAGTTGTAAATAATTTTCAATACGATAATTCTCAAGTTTTATGATAAATATAATCCATTTATCAATATTTTACAAATTTATGTGTATCTAACACAAGCAAACCGTATATATTTTCTGCTTAATCATGAGCATTTATATCTCATATTAATATGGTCGTTGATTCAAGTCATATTAGTAAGTACAGAACTATTTGGTAATGATCTGTATGGTAAGTGAAAGTTGTAAACGATTGGGAAAATTAGGTGATATTGATCTTAATCGGTCACATTTACTCTTTATCTTCCTCCATTTCTTCAAATTCAAATATTCCTTCCTACATACATTTTCATCTGTTCATTTCGAAGCAAATTTTCAACGTGTTTTTTGTTGATGTCATTACTACAACAATTATTTTAACTTTTTTACTACTCATCTTTTTAACTTCATCTCGTATTGCCGTAGTATAGCGACTTGAAGTGATGAATACAGTTGTATCAGATTCTATCTTGAAAATGTATAACTGACTGAATGAATAATATAGATATGTATAGGGCGCTGGCAAATTAATTTTTGATAAATACACTGAAAAGAAAATAGAGGAACTTAAGTTTAATACTTGTTTAGTTTATTTCCGTCTAAATAATATGTTGTTGTTATACTCATTAATAGTTTCGCTTGATGTCAAAATTTTCACTTTAATAAGCGTAATTGTACATTTATTTATAGACATGTGAATATTTGTGCTTCGACAAGTATTATTCTATTTTCAGGAGTTGGATATATTTCTCACTTTTTAAATAGAATGTCATATTATAATAAACTTATGAAGTTATTTTTAAGTTTGAATATATAGTTGAGTACTAAAACAGTTTGTATTTATCCGGTAACTATTACTTTGATATTTTTTCCCGCTTATTCAGATCATAAAGATGTTAGGGGAGAAATAATCAGGAACTTTATTTTTCAGTACCGATTTGTAAAATACTTTGTATTTTTAGCTTTCTATTTCATTTAAACAATATGATAGGACGATTAGATCCAGTTATCTAAATCAGGCTAAATCAATATAACATAGATTATATAACTCAGTGATCAAACAGTGGGTAGTTATTGTTTCATTGTTGGGAAAGATTTGTTGCTCAGGTAGATGGTTTAGGTGGGGGTTTTTATCCTCTGAGCTGGGTGGTTTGGTCGTGGAGCTTTCTATCTGAAGTTTGTGCTGATGTTGTTCAGAAGAACAATAAAAGCTCCATGACCAAAACATTTAGCTCAGAGAACGAAATTCCGATTAAATTATTTCAGTGCATTATAGGATTGTTGCTTTTTATTATTATGCTTACCAACATTGACTATTGGATCATTTGTGTTTGCTTTACTGTCATCATTGCCACTGTTATTGTTCTAATTTTTAATCGCGTACTGTACAACAAGCAATAATTAGGCGAAGTTGGTGTAATAGTTTGTTTATTAGTCATAAATATATTTATGTTAGAATAGTAGTAATTGAATATTTCACTGATTAGATTTGCATGTTTTCAAAGGTTGTCTGACTTAAATCGGTTCATAATTTCAATGAAACTCAACAATCTCTAAAACTCCATACTGATAGTTATCACGCGCTCACAAGTAACTAGCTTTGAGAGGAAATTTCTGGAGTTCTAGTGAATATTTGTGACCAGTAGAGCTAAACCGTGTAGGTCGTGAGGCATTTACCCATTGATGACAATCGAAGATGGTCGCTCAATGTCGTAGATTGATCGAAGTTAGACATTAACACCATTGGATGCTGTCACAGTGGTCTAGAGGTTAAGCGTTCGCATGCAATGCCGTAGGTCCTGGGTTTAATTCTTGTGGATGCTCACTACTGAGGAGGTCCCTACGAGAATGAAATGGCCATCTAATGTTTCCCAGTTTTCAAAGATGATCTAACATTCTTCGGTTTATGATTTCAACGAAATTTGCATGTATTGCAGAAATTAATTTCGAGTAAATAATTAATTAGAGATATGATGAAATAATCTGTTACGATGCGGAAACCAAAGGATTAACTTTTAATCAAATGAAATTCATCTCATCTCTCTATAAAGTAATATCATCAGTTTGATGAATATCTGTTCAAATAAATAGTTTATTCAAGTTTATTTGGTTTCTTTGGTAATTATCGAATCTAGAATTTTGTATATCATTCGGCAAACTAATGTTTTTTTTAAATTTATGTTATTAATGACATGTTTCATTGATCAATCAAAACTAGTTTGTTAGAATTACATGTAATCGAAATCAGGAGAATAAGTTTAAAGTGCAACCAGCTATGAGAAAAAAAAAGAAGGCAATCTGTAAATGCTCATTAGAGTGTATTTTCTGATTATATTTAAATGAAAACCGTTGTCAGTAATTGTAACTGTTCTACTCACTGCCTTCTCGTGGCGGGGGTGTTGTTTACGAAATTGATAGGACGAAAAGCGAATATCCGGCGCTTTAACCGGGTTGGTGGACACGAAAAATTCACCTAGGGTAGTTGGAAAACTCTGATTCCAAACCAGTGGTGTACATGGGCTCCAGTATGCTGAGGGAACAAATGACTTATGAATCAATCGTTGGTGACCGGCTACCATGGGACTGCATCTTCTCACGATGCTCCACTACCTTGTGGATCAGATCTTTAGTTCAAATTCTCGGGATGTAGCCCCCTATGAAAACCATTTGTTTCGGTTTGGGCACCTGGGTAGTATCGTAGCCCTCACACAAATCAAATGAGATTTGTGCGGCGCATATATATCTGGTGCTTGCTTGTACCAATATTTATGTGTTTAAATAAATAATAATAATACACAAACTTCGTGTATTTTTCATTTAGAAAGTTGTCATATAATTTCAACTCTCTATTAGGATAATTTAGGTGAAATTTTTTCCAGATCTTATAGAGATTATGACTTACTACAATTTCAATCATTACTTATTAACGTTGTAGTAGTGAAAAGATTTATTCTTCGGATATATATATATATATTCTTCCGGCGTATTCCTACACCAGACAACATCGCCCATCGAGGTAGACGGTAGTTGGACATGCGTAACACATGAACCACCTCAGCTGATGAAAAATTGCTACTTCATCAATCAGTTTTCCATTTTCACCTGGTATCCTATTACTAGGGTTATTTATTTTCATCATTGACTTCCTAACACCTTAGTAATATCAATTCGCGCATGTTTTTTAGAGTTTTGCTTTAACTTCGTCTATTAACAGTATTATCATTACCATTATTATCATGATTATTACCGTTATTACTTAAGTTACCATTGTTTTGAAGAGGTGAATAAAGAAACTATAGAACATTAGTACTTATTGCTTAGTGAATTAAGTGATATATTATGAAAGTGAAATCCAGGATACAATAGTTTTATGGTACTTTTCTCCTTACAATCCTAATTGTAGACTCTTTCTGAAATTATTAGTTATCATAAAAACTTGGAGAACTCAACACTACCAAAAGCATCCAGCTGAGCTACAAATTTTCTTCATCATGTTTGTGTTTACTATTCTGTACGAGTTAGAGTTCAAGAAAGGGAGAATTCCCAAAGTTCACTAACCATATGAGAAAAATACTGTTGTGGGGCTAGTAGATATATTGTTTTCAGTGTACAAATTGGTTGAGCAGTTGTCGTTTTACTTTATTCAATCACAATCACTTTACTGAGTATTTTAGATAAAAACACATACATATATCAAAAAAAGAAATCACTAGTTGTATGATATCTTTTATCTTTACTCTCATCCTGTAAGTTTTGTCGTGACAGTTCACGTTATTCACATTTCTGTCTTCAATTTATTGACCAAACAAGGGTGTTTATATTGATGTGAATAT